GAGGTGAGTACCGCTTCCCGCGGTAAGGTTTTGAGGGGGGCTCTGGGGGGGAATTCGATTTCCCCCTCCTCGGGGTAAAGAAGCTGTAGCTACCCGGTGTAATTGCAATTCATGGGAAGCACACAAGGATTTCTATTCCCCAGATAAACATCCTGCTTATTTCTCACTTAGGTGCTGTTGGTGCTCTCAAGTCAGTCAATCAGTGTTTGTTTTTCAGTCTCCAAGTAAATCAGCAGCTTATCCTTTCAGAAACAAGCCCTGAGATGCCTTCTAAAACCAACTCCTCAGCCCATTAAAACGCCATGTTTGCAGGTATATGCATAAAGCGGTGTTTGAATTATGCGTAACTGGAGTGCCAGTGTTTTAAAGCCAGTAAACTGTAACTGTAAATCTAGAGATGGAAGTGGTTCAAAGTTACACGAAGAGAGGTCCTCCTGCCCCTCTACTCTGCCCTGGGGAGGCCACATCTGGAATACTGTGTCCAGTTCTGGGCCTCTCAGCTCAAGAGAGACAGGGAACTGCTTGAGAGAGCCCAGCACAGAGCCACAAAGATGCTGAAGGGAGTGGAACATCTCCCTGATGAGGAAAGACTGAAGGAGCTGGGTCTCTTCAGCATGGAGAAGAGGAGGCTGAGGGGTGACCTCATTAACGTTTATATCGAGGGGAGTGTCAGGAGGACAGAGCCAGGCTCTTCTCAGTGATGTCCAAGGGGCAATGGGTAGAAGCTGGAACATAGGAGGTTCCACAAAAATATTAGAAAGACCTTTTTCCCTGTGAGGGTGACAGAGCCCTGGCACATGCTGCCCAGGGAGGTTGTGGAGTCTCCTTCTCCAAAGACATTCGAAACCCGCCTGGACGCGTTCCTGTGCGTTCTACTGTAGGTGATCCTGCTCTGGCAGGGGGCTGAACTAGATGATCTTTCAAGGTCCCTCCAACCGCTGATATTCTGTGATTCTGGGACATTAGGAAGCATTTCTCTACCAAGAAGGTAATCAAACACTGGAACAGGCTTCCTGAGGAATGCCCTAAGCCAGTCAGTGTTTAAGAAGAATTTGAACAATGCCCTTATTAATAACATGCTTTAGCTTTTGGTCAGCCCTGAAGTGGTCAGGCAGTTGGATGGGATGATTGTTGTAGGTCCCTTCCAAACGAACTATTCTAGTCTAAATCTGTCAGTCATTGAGGTCTTTGTGCATGAACACTGGTAACTTTTTCCAGTTTGATCCTGCTTATCCTGCTTTAGGTGAGAATTGTCACTGGAAGCATAAAGCTTATTGTTTATATTTTTGTGCTGCCGAGTTTTGTTTAGTGTTACAAAACCACTTGTAGAAGTGCAGGTAATGAAAAGAAGAGCTCTTTAAAGAGCTCTAGCATTCAGAATTTAAATATGTGGACATACAGTGGATATGTTGAATTAACTTTCTGAAGGCCTTTTCAGCAAACCCATGGTATCTGGTTGGAATTGTATTTATGGTAATGCTGAACAGTTGTAGGTGCCCACGTTTATCAGTCATTCTTACTGTTTTGTGGGGTTTTTTTTCTCACGCAGATTATGTTAACAACAAGTTTCAAAGAGTGAATCAAGGTCATCACAAAGTTTACAAGTTCCTTGAGTGTTTGAAGTGTTGCACCTAGGCTTACAAAGAATGGAACAATACAAAGTGTTGAAAGTACTAGGAGAGGGATCCTTTGGCAGAGCTCTCCTAGTTCATCATAGAATCAGTAACCAGAAGTATGCAATGAAGGAAATAAGACTTCCTATGGTAAGTGTGACATGTACCTCACTTCACCCAAGCTTAAAAAAAAAAATTTAAAATAAATCATAATCCTGGATATATTTTTGAGATGCTGAACACTTTCACTGAGAGTTTTGTGCATTAGACAGTTGCATGATATGGCTACTAGGTAGCTATGTCAGAGTCAATGTTATTGATAATAAGTAAAGTAGCAAATTGTGATCTGTTTCAGAAGGTGTGTGGTTAACTTTTGGGAAGCCTACCACATGGCAGGACACTTAGAATGAAACCTCTGTTTCCCTGATGTCCTTGCCTGCAGATTACATCTGCAATACCTAATGAGGAAATTATCCTGGTATTACTGCTGGTAGTGTTATTCAGGTTACCTTCTCTGCACTTTGCCAACTCAAAAATATCACAAAATGGGATGTGCTGGCTTTATTGAGGCTGAAGATCAGTTAATACCTGAGCACTTGCCTTTATACCAAGTGTAGACTGTCAGTTCCAAAGTCAGTAAGTGCTGCTTTGTTGCATAGTTCTGCATTGTTAAAACAGAAAAAAAAATCATTAAATGAAGTAGGAAAACAGCCTCTCAAATTTAAAAAAAAATGCAGACCACCTCCCAAAAAACTGAAGAAGTCTTCAACTAGTAATAAACTATAGATTAAAGAATTATGGAGTTTTCAAGTTTCTAAATGGCTTATTTTAATATAACTGAAGAACAATTCTTAAAAATATTTTCCTTCGGGAAAGTGAGGTGCATCATGTATCTATGAAATCTGTTAGTGTGACATTTATTTAAGCGTACTTATATTTTCAGTCTTCATCTGATGTAGAGAACTCTAGGAAGGAAGCAGTTCTTTTGGGTAAAATGAAACATCCAAATATCGTTGCCTACAAAGAATCATTTGAAGGTAAATATAAAAATTTAGAATATCTTTATTTTGTTTTAAATTGCATACTCCTGAAGGATTGAGATTACTCTTTTTGTTGGTTTATAGTACATGTTATAAACAAAATACATGGTTTTTATAATACATAATATGTAGCATGTAGTTGGAGCTTTATAGCAGCAATGATATACTTACCCTGTTACTTAAATTACTAATTATTCTTAAATTACCTAAAATTTAGCTGATGGACATCTGTATATAGTGATGGAATATTGTGATGATGGAGATCTAATGCAAAAGATTAAAAACCAAAGAGGAAAGTTGTTCCCTGAAGATACGGTAAGAAAAAGACATTTTTTTGAACCAAGGACCTAGGAATCCTTTTTCATGTACACTGAGGCATCCTATACCATATAAAACGATGGTATACAAATACCTTAAAGTACCTTAAGTGAAACAAAGTAATTTCTATACATAATCTATTCTATACGTAGAATAGAACCATCATTTCTTTGATAATTTCCAGCAGAACAAGATGGAAATTGGACTGAAAGGAATAGAAGCGAAATTGCTGTCTATGCCTGAGAAATGCACCAGCAATGCAAAAAATACAGTCAGGTTTGCATGCATGAATATATGCAACTGCGTAAGAATTTATCACAAACTTCAGCCTTCAGAATTTAAAGCACAGTACGAGGTACTGCAAATGAAGAGTAAATAAAGCACTCTGGTAAGATAAATGAAACTAGCCAGGAGACTAAATGCCTACATATTATGTAGCAATTAATTGTTTAACTCCTTCAGCGGGCATTAACTCCTTTTGTCACAGAGGCTATAAAATTACTTGGGAGAAGGTCCAAAGTGGCACCGTAATGATTGAAGGCTACTTCGTGCCACAGTTAGAAGCATCATTGTAGTTAAAACGAGAAGACTAGAATCCACACCTGGTCTAATATTTAGACTGGCCAAGCATCTCTACGAACTTTATTTCCTACTTTTAAAAAGGATACATTTCCTTTTAGAAACAGTATGTTATCTGAGTATGGGTTCTTTTTGTTTTGTAATTTGCTAATTAATTATGAAAATGTAATTTGCGTGCTTACAAAGTGCTGTATAGTGACTCTGTAGCTTTGTTATTGTTATATATTATTAGGGTTTTCTAGACACAAGTAGCAAACATTCCTTCTGCCAGGTTAAAATATACTTTACCATAAAGAATTCAATTTACCACGCTGACTGGAGGCTGTTATGCAGAAGTTAATGTCAACTTCCAGATATTCTGAATGTGATTTGTTGTCTGTTTTTTTCTTTCTTAATGTTTTTTATCTGTTGGTAAAGTATTCATTATGTACAACACTGAGCTGTTATAACTCTTGGTTACTCTTTTCAGATCCTTCACTGGTTTGTGCAGATGTGCCTGGGTGTGAAGCACATTCATGATAAACGTGTGTTGCACAGAGATATCAAATCCAAGGTGAACAGAGCAAGTCTTTTTGCCCTTAATAAATTCACTCTGTATGCAAAAGTTCAGTTCCCTCTTTCATGATTTCCTGTTACTGTGCTACATGCTGTGTTTTTCATGATTTCCAGTTATTGCTACCTGCTGTGTTTTTCATTTAGGCATAAGAATATTAGGTAAATGAAATTGCTGAGTGTATGGGATGATGTAATACTGAGGATGTAAACATCATCTTAAGTATAGCCGTGCCCTTCGTACCCACACTGCTGATAGTGCCAATTGCATGTATTTTAAAACAGTAACAAGTATAAAAGGTGTATGGGCTGTGCAGTTTGTAAATATCTTGCCTCTAGTTTTTTCTTTTTTTTTCGTCTTCTAGCAGAAAGATAGAAATGCAAAAAAAAAGTGTGACCTTAGTAGTTTGAGTACAGCATAGAGATTAAGGCATTTCTAAGCTCTGATTCTTCCTCTCTGACTGAGCTGGAGCTTTAAGCTCATAACCTTTCCATCTCCCTTAAAACACAACATAGTTCTTAACTTTTTTTATGGTAGAAGTGTTAGGAGAAGCAAGTAGAAGGAAATATAAAATATCAGAAGTGATTGTCATTGCATTTTCTGTATACCCAAGCTACAGAATTTTTTCCTAGAATGTTTAAGTATGCAAATCTGTCCTCTTGCAATGCAGAACGTCTTCCTCACTCAAAATGGAAAAGTCAAATTGGGAGATTTTGGATCTGCGCGCCTTCTTGCACAGTATGTAGATATCTCCACTGCTCTCAGTAGAGTAAAGTTTAATTTTACCATTGATAAATAGTACAGGTCTCTTAAATAATCACTTTTCATCTGGCATTTTTTCTTTATTGTTTCAATAGTCCAGCGTCATACGCTTGCACGTATGTGGGAACTCCTTATTACGTACCTCCAGAAATATGGGAAAGCATGCCCTACAACAACAAAAGGTATTAGCGTTTGCAATGGTCACAAATAATGCCTGACTGATGTATGTCTTTTATTGTTATCTCAGTCTGGCTGTGTATCTTATTTATATTTGATTCGGAGAAGATACTGAGCTGAGGAATATTTAGAAAGAGGTAATTACAGGGTAGGGTTTTTTAAGATTAAAAGGCCTAAATCCCCTTTTACATAGGTAACTGAGTATGTAATATCTTTATTCTTAAAAGTTTGAAAACTGCTGTGCAGAACTCTCTGTTCATTTGGGTGGGTAAGTATATACAAATATGAACACGTGTGTGTGTTTGTCTTTTGGCTGGTTGTCTTATTTCAGCTGGTCTTACTTTTTAACATCTTCTTGCCAGTCCTGATAATGTGGGGATAGTGGCTACAGAACCAGTGACTTAAATTTCCAGAGCCTGGTTGTTCTGGTCCCTTATAGAAGAACTTCTGAGAGCATCTTGATAGTATGTCATTTACAGCTTCCTCCCAGACTCCAAAATATGAAGTCATTTTATATCCCCTCCCCTAGATCCATTCTGTGACCCCAGTTGTGCCTCAAACAAGTGACTCAGTTGCCGGAGGAGGGGAGAAACCTTCTAGTGCTTAAGTTTTTGCTGCTTCTCTTTCAAGAAAGGCATCAGCTGCTTCTTGTGCGGGAGGCAGTACTCACTTTGGGTGGAAGGTGATGATTTTATTCTTGGTAGGAGAATTCTCATTGGCAAGGCCAGAATTCCAACTCTCAGAATTAGGATTGTGTGTCTGCCATCTGATGTTAAGGGCTGTGGAGTGCAAAGGCTTTGAAGAGTGGAAGGATGAATCTTGTTGCACTAAATTGCTTAGGAGACACTCTGAGAATAAAACACTAACTACAACTGTATGACAGTCATCTATTTTACATCAAGGTGGAATAAAGTAAGCAAGATCATTCCCACTAAAGAGGTTGAATGCATAATTGTATTGTCTTTTATGGTTATGTACATTTATTTTTATATTTATTTATTATATTCCATTCAGTTATGTACACAAAATGAATTTCACTTTTTCTAGGCAGGATGTTAATTTGTGATTTTTGGTTCAAAATTTATCATCTTTCTTTATACCTACAGTGATATATGGTCTCTGGGATGTATTCTGTATGAGCTGTGCACTCTTAGACATCCAGTAAGTATAGCTTTATGGCTATGAGAAAAGTTTCAGAATTCCTTAAAATTTAATTAGCAGTTAGATGTTGTGTGATGGATTCACAGTGAGCTATCTGACAAACATGTTTGCTGCTGCATCTGAAAGAGGGAAGTATCGCTTCACCCTTCCTAACCCTCCTCTACTACATGCCTTCTGTTTTTTTCAGCAGCTCTTGGACCTATCAGACCCTTTTGCAAAACACTCAATTTTCTAAATTGTTAAGAAAACCCCTTTTTTTTCCTTTTTTTTTTTTTTTTCTTTCTGAGTTCATTTTCCTCAGTATCTGTGAGGTGATCTGAGGTTTACTAAGGAATCCAGCAGGTGCCAGTCTGGTTCCATATAGCTGCAGGGGTGTCGCAACAAGCATGGCATTTTACAAGATCCGAGATGTTCACTAAAGGTGGAGTTGAGGACACTCTTTGCTGAAGAGCAGATACTGTGTGCAAGCATAGCCAAAGAGAGTAAGCAATGAGCAGTTTTGTGCCTCACACCAGTGGTACACCTCTTTGCTTATTTTTCAAATTGAAGTCCAAGATTCGTCCTCCTGTTGGGACAGTGGGAATTTTGATGGATCGTTCTGTCTCTCTGTTGTTTCTGAGACGCTCTCTTACAGTGTTGATTCTGTGCTTCTTAGGTGATAACTTCCTCTGGCTCCCATATAGAGGTGCCTGGCTAACACGACAGCCCTTAGCGGGATACGTTTGTTTCTCAAGAAAATGAGATCTTATTTTTTTTTATAAGCAGCACATGCCTTTCATTGGACTAATACTATAGCTTGAAATCCTGTACCTCGGCAAAAGATTCTCTATAGCTGCTAGCAGTATGAGAGTTCACAAGTACAACGTAAGCAAATTTTCTGCAAGGAGGTGGAAGTTCTCAGGCATTTTTGCTCAGGCTGTCACTGCTGGAATCAAACTCTTCCAATGGCTTGTACCTGAAAGCAGTAATTCCTGGCTGAAGACTGGATAACAGTCAGCTGAAAAAAGTAACAACTTCAGCCATTTCATGTAGATTTGCAAGAGGATACTTGTGCTGTGAAAGGCTACTTCTGATGGTTTTTTTATTATTTTCTTCTAAATTGAAGTCTGCTTCTTTCCTGGCTTACAGTTTCACTCTTGCAGTTTGATTCTGATCTCAAGTGTATGAAGTAAAGGACACTAAGATGATCCAAATTTTCTCAATGCTGTATTCCTAGAAAAATGTGAACAATCCTAATTTTACAGGAGTAACTCCCACCTGGTTTCTAGTTGTACAGGTTATTGTTCGCAGTGTCTGTTATCGTCTAGTTTTAGTCAAACTTTTCATGCAAACTGTGATGTTTTAGTTCTAAGCAAATTATATTTCTGTCATTGTTAAACAAATGCCCAAGTAATAGCCCTACAAAATGTAAAGGAAAGTTACTGGTGTTTTCACGCAAGGTCATTCCAGACCTCTGAATTAGAGCCCTGAAACTGTCAAACTGGGAGCCAGATCAGTATGGTAATAGGGAGCCTATGCAGATACATACCATGTGTTTTTATAGAATAATTGTTAAAGTTGCTCTTAAATTGTGTCAGCTGCTATTTATCTTATGCTTAAACTCTGTACTCTAATGTTCACTTATTTTTAATGCAGTTTCAAGCCAATAGCTGGAAACATCTCATCCTTAAGATATGCAAAGGGTCCTACAATCCACTACCATCTCACTATTGCTATGAACTTCATTACTTAATAAAACAGATGTTTAAGAGAAATCCCAAGAATCGTCCATCAGCCAGTACTATTCTTGCAAGAGGCTGCTTAAGCAAACTCATCAAAAATTGTGTGCCTTCCGAGGTACAGTATATTCTTTGTCTCTAGATTTAAACAGTAGTACATACATTTGACATACTAAAGCAGTGTCTTGTGATTTGTTAGTGTATAGCGATATGAAATGTCGTGTTGTGTAGGTCCTACTCTAAAAGGCATATGTACAGTTGTGGACTTCTCAGAAAATGATGAGTTTTAGGAAGGGTTTGTTCTGAAAATAGAAGTTGAATATTGACATTTTGCTGCTAAAATTAGATATTGTTATCTGTCAACTGTAACAGTGCTTTTGTATGCTAAGTATTTTTAATAACAAGTAGCATATGCAGCAATTTGAGAAAGTTTAAAATGGTAGAGTACTTACATCTCTTCATACATATTCCAGCTGACAGATGAGTTTGAGCAGATATTAAAGGAAACCAAGAAACATGAAGGCAGTGCAGCAAGACCAAAGGGTAAGTCAGCAACTATTGATGAAAGGACTAGGAATTGTAAGACCATTAATAAGCTATAAAACATTAGTATTATATGTTCAAATCTACTTTTATTATTTCAAAGTCTAATGGTATTGAAACTGCATGGAAAAAAGCTTCAAGGGTATAAATTATATTTCAGTGTGAGGAATGCAGAGCTGCAATACCTGCGTTGTGAGTCTTAAGACTTGTGATAGAATTAAACCTTTCTGGTTTAAAATAAGCAAAAGTTTTAGCTGTTGCATATATTGTAGATATGACAGTGCTTTCTTTTCCAGAATATGGTGAAGCAAGTAATTTTCATTATTTAATTTTTAGAGAGTATGTTGGATTTTCTTCTTCTGCATGAATTTAGCTGCACCAAAATTTGTACACTTTTGCAAATGAATAGTTGAGGGACTCCCTGTTCAGAATGAGCTACGTTGAAAGAATTGTGAAGAAGCTTTCACATGATTTTTGTTGCTTGGTTCACGGGTTTTGCTGTCACGCTTCTGGAATACCACTTTACCACCAATGTTTGCTAAAGGCATTAACTCTTGAACATGTTCCTTAATGTATCAGGTAATGTCATGGCTGGTGGAAGCTCAAATAATAAGGAAGAAAATAGAGTGAGTATTCAAATACAAGTAAACTATTTTCATTTTGGTAATATAGAATGTTCTCTATTATAGAAAAGTTCATATGGAAAATTATTAGTATGCTAAACTGTAGATGAGCCTATCAGGTCAGCTGTCATCTGTGTTCAGATTGCAGAGTTTTCCTGTGCATTTCCCACCACTTTAACTTTTTGATGCTTCCCACACTTAGTTTAGTTCCAAAGTGGATTTCCTTATAGCCCTGTCAAAACAAAAGCCCACTCAACTATAAAAACCATCTCCTGTTTTTCTAAGTTTGGAGACACTGCAAAAATTGATGCACTTTCTTTGCTTTAAGGACACATTTTGAACAGGCTGCTGGGGAAATGGTCATGATTTTCATTAGGTTTTAGGGCCAATGTGAGATTTCGGGTGAACAGAATTAAGTTAATTGCCAGTAGGGCATGGTTTTTTTTTATTTTAATAGACTTGTCAATCTGAGAATCTTAATATTTGGGTGTGTCTTGTGTTCCCTGGGAATATGACTCCTTTATCTTTATATTGCTACTGTTCTTATATGTAAAAAAACCAACGCACAAATTGCATCAAGACGCTACTTATCTGCTTAGCTTCAAAAACTGAGATGATCTGTCAAAAATGGGCACACAGTGTGAAATGAAGTGCAATGATAGACACAGTGCAATTGCACTTGGCTTCATGGTGTAGGTGCTTTAGTTTTCAGATCTTTGGGCCAGACGTTTAATACTAAAATAATTCATGCCATGTTAATATTACTGCTTTGTTTTTCTTGACAACAAGGATGATGATTAATACAGTCTTTCTTCTTTTAAAGCAAAGTAACGATGAAAGCAAGCACAATCCCTTAGAAAGGAAAAATGGTACTAAGGATTTGATGGAAAGCACAAAGGAACAAAAGAAATCTGATGAAGAGGGTAAGTTCTATAGTTCTAAGGCTGATACATATCCTTCTGTGTAGAGATATCTCAGTGTAATAATCCAGACAGGTAGAAAGCCATGCACCTGTCTGTTACTTACTGCTCTTCTGAGGCTTATTTTAAAAAAAAAAAAAAAAAAAGAAATCTTGGCCAAAGTGCTAAAAAATTACTATTTGAAACTATTTGGGATAGAGTAAATACAAACTCAGACTTGTACTCACAGAATCAAATGGCACCGTTAGTGGAGTGCTCTGTGCTTAGAACTAGTTTGCATGGGTAGAGAATCAGGTTAGATGCTCATTATTATCTTTTTTTTTTGATTGTTGTTGCAATTACAGTAGAAGCTTCTGCCATCCTCCCAGGAATTACTGATTTGTCGCATCTCCAGAGGAGGCAATGGGAAAAGAGGATACCCAGTACTGTAGTGGATGTCCTGGAAAATGCATCCTTGCTTTCATCTAGTTTTACATCTGAAGAGGCTCAAAGTAAGATTTAATTAAATGCAGATTTTAATTCAAGGAATATCAGTGCTTCTTTACAGATTTTGAAAGCAAAATCTTTACAATATTCAAAATGACATAAAAATAACTTGAAAATATTTTATTAACAAACACTCAAAAAGTCCAATGTGCTAAAGAGAATTTTAGTGCTCTTGTGTGGCAGAGAGTGATGGAAGCCACGGATAAGGTTAGCAACTATAATGTTACATTCATGGCTAAGAATTTTTCCTACCAGCCCTCCTCTTAATTTGCCATTTGTGGGGGTAACACTGAGGAATTTATCTGATGCAGAATGAGCTGCCTGTCAAGAGCATGTAACATCCTATAGCATCACATACGGATAATGCTAATGACAACAACTATAATAATGTACCTCAGATGTGAGGCCGAGATTCTTCCACATCAACAGCTTTTAATCAGAACGCTTCAAGTATAAAAGGTTTCCATTTTAAAATACCCCACACTGTGTGTGATCGTTATAATTATTTCATGTGATCAGGGATCTGTATTCTAAGTAAACGTGAATAGATGCTGTTGAAATAAATAATCAAGATACAAGTAGTGAGGAAATTCCCAAGCTGTAACAGGAATGTTAAATGATAATTACCTGTGGCGCAAGGGAAGAGGACAGAAGAATGTGTGTGTATATGAGTGTTCTGCTATTAAAAGGCACAAAAATGGCCACATGCTCAGTTTTGCGAGATTTATAGAGCCACCAAAATAAACTTGCAGAGAGTCTGACTCCTCACACCCCTTAGCCAGTTTCTGCTGTGGCCTTCGTTAGTTTTCTTTGCTCTTAATGCTGAGTGTCCACCCCAGCATGTTGAGAGGTCACCAGAGCTACAGGTGGAAACACCTAGACCCTTTTCTTCCTGTATTTCTCTCTTGAGTGTGATCTTTGTAATCCGCACTGCTAATGCACTTTTGTCTAAGTGGTATTTTTAATGGTTTTATACTTAGGTGGCCGTGTTATAACCTACAGTGGAAAGAAGCCACGTAAGCAGTGGAACAAGGAAACTCCTCAGACCCTGATGAACATTCTCAGTAACGCAGATGTCAGCTTAGCATTTAAAACCTACACAATTTATAAACCAGGTAAATGCACAGTTCGTGGGCAAACATTTTTGCCAACGGGTGTTTTAATAAAAACTTTTTTTTCTTCCATACATAGCCCTTACGCATAGAGATTGTGCACCTGAAACCATGTCACAACAGGCTGGTTTGCTTTTTTTAAAGTTTACCAAATGAAAGTTGGACTCGCAAGAAGCCAGCTTGAGAATTCACAAGTGATTGTACGTCTCCGCTACATTTTTTTATGGTGGACTCTCACTTGCAGATCAGTAGACGAATAAGCTTGTGACAAAAACGCAGCGACTTCAGAGCTGTGCAGACTCCATCCTGGAATCTGCTAAGAACAAATCAAACTATATTTATATTCTTAATAATTTTGGTGATGTTTTCATTTTTATGCTTTCCAAGCTTCTGAAAACATGTTTAGAGGTCCACTTTCTGATGAAGCTGAAGCATCTGATGAAGTAGATGGTGAACATGAAGCTGTTGTTGTAGATTCGGAGAGACTTGAACCTAGATCTGATGAAGATGACACGTATGTCCAAATGACTTCCTTGTGTTTTTGTTTTCTTTCATTCCTCAAAGTGATCTTTTGAAAAAGACATCCCCCTGAAAAAAAAAAATCAGTGTTTTTCTCAGCATCTAAATCCATCCTTCTTTTATGTAATACTAAGTAGTATTTGATATCTTACAGGCTTCCTTTGCTATATTTATAGTTATTGATAACTATATCTGAGATTAAGCAGCCTGCTTGTTATTGGCAGATATGCTAATCGTTTGCTGATGACTTTGAATATGAAAGCATGAGATGAAATTAGATCCAGAGTAAAGGGCAAAACCTTCTTGCACGAAACATCTTTGTACTCTGACCTTGAAATTGGATAACCAGTTGCAAACCACTTGCCTAGCGATATATTTGCTGTATTTGTTCATTATTCTTCCTACTCTTTAATGCATAGTGCTATAAAATCACTTGGTACCTACTTACTGAGACATGTTTGCAGGAACATTTTAGCTTTTATGTTCTATTTATGTTAGCGACTCACTTCTGGTTTTGAAAGCAGAGTGTACATCAATACTTTCTGAGCAGAAATACTGTATTTTACAGATATGTGTATGCTTTGGGGAGGTTTCTTGGATTCTCAGGATTTCAGTTTATGTCACTGCTTATTTTTGTGGCACTTGGAGAAGAACTACTTGCGCATATATTGCTGCAGTTGAGCTGCAAGCTGCTGATACCAACACATTTTCTGTCTCTTAGTATACGTGTTTAGTTTTGCTTTTCTAAAACTTACTGGAGTAAATTCAAAAGGGAACATCTATTGGTTCCTTAATCACAATGGTAAATAAGGAAGTAAGTCTGGCATTGATATTTTTAACATAACTTGTCTTAGTTGTAGGGTAATTTTAGGGGGAGAAAAGCAGAGATTTGTGAAGTTGTATTTTGCTTTGCAAAATAATGTTTCGAAATCTGTTTTTAGGGACTTCGAGGAAGATGACCCAGACTGGGTGTCAGAACTGAAAATGCTATTGAAACACGGTGACTGAAAACTTGAATTTACATGTAATTGCTGCAGTTAGGCTTGCCAATATTTATAACCCAAATCATTGTTGTTAATAGTTGTAGTTATTAATAAAATTATTTCAGTCAAAAAATCCTGACTGGGCATGTTTTCTGTATCATAAAACTGAGGGTGGAAAATGCATAACAAACTTTTTTTAGCTAGTACACTTATATTTAATATATAGATTTGTACAATTATTTGCATTCAGAGTTGATCATAGCTTTGCAGAAATGTTCAGTCCAAAGCATTATTGCTAGTAACCTTGTTCAGATTGCCCCTTTGACATATTTCAAAGAGTTGGTGTAACACTACACGAATGGGCAAAGTTTCCAGACTGCATACTGAAATACTGCATAATAGAAATAACTGATCTTGTCTGAAAGGCATGTTCTGGAAAACATTTAGCTATGTTAAATATTTGAGCCTTTAATTCATCCAATTATTAAATCCTCTGAAAACTCCAGAGGTGAGCTTTTGCTTTAATTACTTCAGTGAAAAGGTTTTTATATATATCATTGCATGTATGGAAGTAAGTTCATTTGTTCATAAATAAGGACAAATTTTTCTATCAAGTAACCTCCTAAACAAGTCAAAGTCCACCCTGCAGAAGTCCAAAGTGGCGGTTTTGCTGTCCCCCCTCCTAACATCTCTAAGAAGAGAGAACTTAATCATTTCATGGTCACTGTTCCCTAGACAGCCTCCAACTGTCACATCCTCCACAAGACCTTCTGTGTTCACAAAGAGAAGGTCTAGCAGGGCACCTTCCCTGGTCGCTTCACGTACCAGCTGTCTGAGGAAGTTATCCTCCACACATCCCAGGAACCTCCCGGATTGTTCCCTTTCTGCTGTGTTATATTTCCAGCAGATACTTGGGAAGTTGAAGTCTCCCACGAGAACAACAGCAAGTGACCATCCCTCACAACATCCTTATGGCTAAGC